GCCCATGGGGCACTGTTCCTCACACTGATACAAGACACTATTCCTCCCACTGACACTAACAATGGTGTACTATTCCTTCCACTACCAATGATGGAATACTATTCCTCCCACAGACACCAATGCTGGAGCAATATTCTTCTAACTGACATCCATGGCGGGGCACTATTCTTCTCACTGACACCAATTACGGGGCACTATTCCTTCCACTGACACCAACAATGGGGCATTATTCCTCCCATTACCAATGATGGAGTACTATTCCTCCCATTGACACCAATGCTGGAGCACTATTCTTATAGATGACATCCATGGCGGGGCACTATTCTTCTCACTGACACCAATTACAGGGTACTATTCCTTCCACTGACACCAACAATGGGGCATTATTCCTCCCATTACCAATGATGGAGTACTATTCCTCCCATGGACACCAACGCTGGAGCACTATTCTTATAGATGACATCCATGGCGGGGCACTATTCTTCTCACTGACACCAATTACAGGGTACTATTCCTTCCACTGACACCAACAATGGGGCATTATTCCTCCCATTACCAATGATGGAGTACTATTCCTCCCATTGACACCAATGCTGGAGCACTATTCTTCTAACTGACATCCATGGCGGGGCACTATTCTTCTCACTGACACCAATTATGGGGCACTATTCCTCCCACTGACACCAACAATTTATTTATTTCAGGTACTTATGTAGCGCCGGCAATGTATGCAGCGCTTTACATATATATATATATATATATATATATGTATTGTACATTCACATCAGTCCCTAACCTCAGGGGGTGTACAATCTAAGGTCCCTAAACTTACATTCATACATACACATACTAGGGACAATTTAGACAGGATCCAATGAACCTACCAGCATGTCTTTGGAGTGTTGGAGGAAACCGGAGTACCCGGGGAAACCCACGAAGGCACAGGGAGAACATGCAAACTCCAGGCAGGTGGAGCCATGGTACTATTCCACCCATTTATACTAATGTCTGTCCCCTCCTATTGTCTGAAGGACAGTAAACTGGCCCTTTGTTTAGAAAGTTTGGAGACCCCTGTTATAGAGTGTCAAATATATTTGGTAAGAGTACATCTATCCCTAGTGGTGGTGGTGGTGGTATTTACAGAGACCTACAAGAAGCACTGTGCATTGGAGTTGCACCATCCAGTGGATTTAGTATTTTTCTTTATTTCTCCTTTTTTTTCATGTGGAAATTTGTTTGTGTATATGACCATGTAATTATTTATATACATTATTGTGGTGTTAATTTAGGGAAAAGGTGGAATCACCAAAAGTTTTTTTCTTTCTCACAGAGATTTTATTGTATGCGTATACATATGAGTTGTTTTGACATTTATTGTTTATTTCTCTGTAGCGCAACAGATACTTACTAATATAATATCAATCATTGTCCTGTAGCCTAAAAAGCTGTGGTATCCTCTCTTACAGTCTCTGGCCCTGGCCCTGGAACCTCCTGTTCTTCCTTATGAGATTCCAGACCAGATAAAACCTTGGAGGCTGAGAGATAAAGACTGACTTCCCTGGGCAGCTCATCTTTTATGATTAATACTCCCAAAATGTGTAAATTCCTAAGGATTTGGTCCTCTGATCCCTGCTGTAATGGATATTCTGAATTTCCTGCATGTAGTCCTTGCTATAAAATGAAAGTGGTTCTATAAGTAAAGCATTTTTTTACCCTAATACATTCCCTGCATTAAGGGGGAAAATGTCCTATTAGTAGTCTCCTTCCCCAAATACTTACCTGGGCCCTGTATCGATCCAGCTCTATGCCGAGCTGCAGTGGTGCTCTCCCCTCTCTCACAGGCAGCAGTTGAACCCATTTGCTCCTGCTGCTGTCAATCAAACTTAGTGAGCAGAGATCAGGGGGCAGAGCCGAGCCACACTGTGCCCATCAATAGATGCACACAGCCCCGGCTTGGGAGCTAGCCCGCAGGTGTGCCACCATAGGGAAGCTGCTTCTTATGGTGGTGGACCGAGAAAAGAAAGAGTCAAAAGAGTTGGTGGGGGACTTGAAAAGAGGAGAATGATAGGTCTGCTCTGTGCATTAGCATTGCACAGAGCAGGTAAGTATAACGTGTGTTATTTTACAAAAAAAAGTTAAAGTATAAGTTCACCTTTGGGAACATGTTACATGTACCACCTGTTTTTAGGATGGAACATTTAACATGTTCCCAATGCTGCAGCCATGACTGCTGCCCCCCCTTCTTGTGACAGAAGTATGGGGAGAAGTTCCCCCGTACCAGGGGCGGACTGACAACTCATGGGGCCCCTGGGCAATAGGGGACCATGGGGCCCCTGTGTCCTTGCCCAAACTCAAAAACGCCTATGAAAAAGGTACCAGGGGCACCTCATGGGGCTCCCTAGTGACCCCGGGCCCTCAGGCAGTGCCCGAGTTTCCAAATGGTCAGTCCGCCCTGCCCCATACTATCTGTCAGATTTGAAAACAGCGTGGCCGCGGGGCTCCGCCCACATGGCTGCGTCATTCATTTACAAAGTTCTGTGAATGAATGAATTGCAAGTCCCAACAGCTTTAGCGGCAGTCAGCTTGTAGTTTTCAATTAACTACTGTGGAGCACCGTGGTGCCCTGTGGAGCACCGTAGTAGTTCACTGAATCTTCCTGTCAGTATACATGCTTGCTCTAGATCCTGTATGGGCAAGCAAATATACTGACAGATCTGCAGGAGACCTGCATGGCATCAGTGATCTGCTGATCACTGGTGAAATGCTTTACAGGTTCCTGCAGACAAAAAATGATAACTGCTCATTTTTTTACTTCCAAAAAATTGTGCATTTATTATTTTTGTGCAAAAGGTGAACTTATCCTTTAAAGCTTTACAACCACTTTAGGAGTTCAAGCCTTAGTCCTGTCCTCGCTCTCTGGATATCATGGGCATCTCATCATCTGGTGAACCAATTCTTAAAGGCCTGTGCAAGAATACACCCTCCGAGAAGGAAATATATTCCCCTTTTGGATTGACACATAGTCCTAGGCATGTTGTCTCATCCTCAATTTCTTCTAGGTCAGATTTCCTCAATAAGGACAGTAATGCTGAAAGCAGGACTTCTTAAAACTATCACATCCGGGAGAGCGTTAGGCTGTAATCCATTTTATCACTGACAGTTTCCAGACAGGTTGGTTTTAAGACCGCTCCCTCAGCATCATTAACTGGTCTGCAAATCTGTCCATCTAAATCAGGATGTCATGCTCCCAGCATTTCTAAGTGAAATGTCTAATTCATGGCATGCACTGGATGAAAGCACAACATTGAAGAAATATATCAAGATGATCTATTCTTTCAGAAGGTCTGACTACTTTCTAATCATTCCTGATGGTGTCAGAATGGGACTTTTGGGTACACTAGGACAATTGCTTTGTGGTTGGTCAAGGTGATCCAAAAAGCTTATATGGCAAAAAAAAAAGGTGGATCCGGCAATAAATCTCAGCGTCCATTTTACCAGTGGGATTTCATCCTCATGGGCAGAATTCAGAGGTGTATCTCCATTGTTGGTCTGCAGGGTAAAAACCTGGTTCATGCATGGCACATTCCTAGAACATTACAAAGTCGTTCCAGCAACACTGAACACAGTGGAGTTTGGTTGTTCAGTTCTAAATGAATCAAATGAAAAGTCTATTGATTAAAATATTTCAGCTTTCCATGTTTTGGCATGCTGTATCTCAGGTGTATGCTGTCATGCTTATCAATCAGTAACTTTCTTTTCCTGATGCTAAAACATGACAGAATACAAAATCCTTCCAAGGGCTTCGCATTGAGTATACATACTAGAATATTGCTTAGTGTTGGGCATTTCACTTATACCGGTCATGTGACTGGGTAGGGGATGGAGCTATACCGTCTCCCCCAAGTATACATTTTTCTGTTTTACAATCTTGCTTTTTCTGTGTAACTACATAATCATAATAGTGCAGTATACATTATTTTGAACTATTAGTATCATCGGTCCTTTGGTGAAACACTGTGTAAATATGTTTGTACAAATTTCATTCCAGGTATGATTTTCTATGGTTAGTAGTATGCAGGAAAAAAATGTAAGCTGTCATATGTCATTTTGTCTCGCTATGTGCAGCTCTGGTTACTGTGGTAACATAAGTGTCATTGTACAGTATGTAATAATTGCAAACCACTTGCAGCTTCTCAGCTACCATACTACTACACTATATTGCCAAAAGTATTGGGATGCCTGCCTTTACACGCACATGAACTTTAATGGCATCCCAGTCTTAGTCTGTAGGGTTAAATATTGAGTTGCCCCCCCCTCCCCCCTTTGCAGTTATAACAGCTTCATCTCTTCTGGAAAGGCTGTCCACAAGGTTTAGGAGTGTGTCTATGGGAATGTTTGACCATTCTTCCAGAAGTGCATTTTTGAGGTCAGGCGCTGATGTCGGACAAGAAGGCCTGTCTCACAGTCTCCGCTCTAATTTATCCCAAAAGTGTTCTATCGAGTTGAGGTCAGGACTCTGTGCAGGCCAGTCAAGTTCTTCCACCCCAAATTCCATCCATCCTTGTCTTTATGGACCTTGCTTTGTGCACTGGTGCGCAGTTATGTTGGAACAAGAAGGGGTCATCCCCAAACTGTTCCCATAAAGTTGGGAGCATGAAATTGTCCAAAATGTCTTGGTATTCTGACGCCTTAAGAGTTCTCTTCACTGGAACTAAGGGGCCAAGCCCAACCCTTGAAAAAAAACCCCACACCACAATCCCCCCTCCACCTAACTTTACACTTGACACAATGCAGTCAGGTAAGTACTGTTCTCTTGGCAACCACCAAACTCAGACACGTCCATCGGATTGCCAGGATTGCCGGATTGTATGATTTGTCACTCCAGAAAACACATCTTCACTACTCTAGAGTCCAGTGGCAGCATGCTTTACACCACTGCATCCGACGCTTTGCATTGTACTTGGTGATGTAAGACTTGGATGCAGCTTGGTGATGTAAAGCTTGGATGCAGCTGCTCAGCAATGGAAGTCCATTTCATAAAACTCTCTATGCACTGTTGTTGTGCTAACCTGAAGGCCACATGAAGTTTAAAGGTCTTAGCTATTGTAAACAGTTGGCAACTTCTGCAGACTGTGCGCTTCAGCATGCGCTGACACCGCTCTGTCATTTTATGTGGCCTACCACTTTGTGGCTGAGTTGCTGTTATTCCCAGTTGCTTCCACTTTGTTATATTACCACTAACAGTTGTCTGTGGAATATTTAGTAGCAAGGAAATTTCACGGATGGACTTATTGTACAGGTGGCAACCATCAGTACCACGCTTGCAGTCACTGAGCTCTTGCCAGAGACCCATTCTTTCACAAATGTTTGTAGAAGCAGTCTGCATGCCTAGGTGCTTGATTTTATACACCTGTGGCCATGGAGGTGATTGGGACACCTGAATCCAATTATTTGGAGGGGTGTCCAAATCCTTCTGGCAATATAGTGTATATGTGGTAGTCCATTTGCACAAGCCAACAAGAGAGACATACAATAAAAGAATACAAAATGAAGTAAAGCCTACTTAAAACAAAAGGTACTTGCATGTCTCACATTTATCACAAATTCAAAAAATTAGGATATATTCTTGATTTTAGGATAACGGGTCAAGGAAGCAAATTTTTACTTTATGTTCCTAGGTGAAACATGCATCCAAAACTGCTTGTTTCCAGCACAAATACAGAATAATATTATAGAACCATTTGTTCCAAACAACATAGAGCTCTTTCAGTCATATTGATATTAAGATTTGCTGTGTTATGGAGAGCATTGCAGTTTTAATTATGACTCAAAAATATATCTTTTGTCATGAATTGCTTAAATTTGCAGTAAAGTAACAAACATGGCCTGAAGAAGTTCCTTACCGATTTAGTCACTTAATACAAAAACCTGAACTCAGATAATACACACATCAATATTCACCATGCATTTGAGCTCCATCTCCATATTACCTTAAAGTGATATTAAACCCTCAATTTTTGTAAGCACTTTCAGAAGCTGATTAAATCACTTAATGAGTATGCAGCTTCATCTATGAGGCTTGGTTCACACCTATGCATTTTTTATTTATTTTGCGTTTTTCACAAACACACTACAGTCCATTCAACATGGTTTCCTATGGATCTAAAATGTGCAAATGATAAACAGATAAGCTAATACATAACTGAAGTAAAGTCTTAAGTATAGTTCATAAGGTGCAGTGTGACAATAGTGGTTCAATGAATAACTGTATAACTTTCATGACTCCCGTGGCTGTGAAGAATGAGCATACAATGCACTAACCAGATAGCACAAGTTCTTGTGCGTTGGAGTATATAAGACCTACTCCTAGGTGCTCTGGGGACAGGAACTCTGCATGCGGATGAAATCGTCAGGTGGGGGTGCATCACCAGATATCATCCAACCAGGGCAGGTTACCTCTCTCCAGCAGTGTGTGAACACATCAGGTTAACTATATCCTGCAGTACGGATTTCAGCCATCGGGGGGAGATCATACATTCAAGTGTGAATCCACTTTAAAAGCACCTTCAGGGAAAGGGGGCTCAAAATACCAAAAAATGAGCCCAGAAGAGAGAAAACTCCAATAGTGTAGTATTTTTAATGGACAAATGGAGTAACATCAAAGTCAAATAAAAAAGGATCAACACTTACATCAGAGGTGAACAATAGGTCATGCAGTCAATAATCCATGATATAGGGGGGTCTCCCTAACGTGTTTTCGTGTAATAACACATTTTGAAAATGTTTATATTATTCCTATCGATCTAGTTCACATCTGTGTGTTTTGAGCTGGTGCATTTTTTGGAAAGGGTTAGGGACTATTTCCCAGCAGCAGATTGCATTGTGCGTGTAATAGAGTTTCATAGGGTTAGCGGTAATCATTAGGGTTAGCAGAAATTGTTAGTGTTAGCGTTAAATGTTTTGCTTAGTGGTAATTTTTATGCTTAGCAGTAATTGTTAGGGTTAGCGTGTCTTCCCAGGCTCTTTTTATATCCTTTTGCCCCTTGGTGCTCCTGGGCTCTGTAGTTTAACTTCAGTTTAACTGTGATGGTGACTTTGAGGAAAGGGCTGCTTTCAGCCTACAATTCCCAGAAGTCTCTGTATTAGGGTTATGGAAAGTCAAAGTTGCCATCTTGTGGATGAATAAGGTTTTGCATTCTCAGTAACAGTGCACAGTGTTACACAAGCATAAGGCTTTCCAGTGGTTGTAAATGTTCAAGGTTTTTTTACCTTCATGAATTTTATGCATCGAGGTAAAAAAAACCCTGTGTGCAACAGCCCCCCCAGCCCCCTAAAACTTGCCTGAGCACCCTCTCAATCCAAGAATGTGCATGAGAGCCTCAGCTCTTCTTGGTCTCTCTTCCTCATTTGCTGAGACAGCAGCTGTAGCCATTGGCTCCCACTATTGTCAATCACAGCCAGTGAACCAATGAGGAGAGAGTGGGTGCGAGGCCCAGCAATGCTTCGTGTGTGAATGGACACACAGAGCTGTGGCTCGGAAGGAGCCTACTGTGGTGTCCCTATAGCAAACTTCTAGAATGCAGATCAGCAGCCTGTGAGACACTGAGCAGACCACAGCCATGAGCTCCTGCTCCACAGAGCAAAATCTGGTGCAGCTGTGCATAGTAGCCAATCAGCTTCTAACTTCAGCTTGTTCAATTAAGCTTTGACAATAAACCCTAGAAGCTGATTTGTTTCTATGCAGAACTGTACCAGATTCTGCACTCTCCAGATTCAGTAAATCAACCCCCTACCTCTTCTGCTGCTGTAGAGGTTTCCTCTTTCCCCTTAACCGCTTTCCCTCTGTCCTATAGTAAAACTACTGCTAAAGGGTGGCAGGGCTGCGCAAAATCACGTATATATACATGATATGCATTTCCGGGTAGGAGGGCCGCCATTGGCGGCTAGGCATGTCAGTCACCGGGTCCCAGCCAGAGATTCCCCGTCGGCATCCAGCGATCCCTAAGCAAAGCTGACAGGGGAGAGACCTGTGTGTAAACAACACAGGTCTCTCTCTTACTAGCAAGAACATGCTGCTTTGTTTTTCTCTGCACAGCAGAGAAATACAAAGCAGCATGCCTCCATAGTAAAGCACACACAGCACACACAGTAAAACACACAGAGCACACAGTTAACCCTTTGATTGCCCAAAAGTTAACCTCTTCTCTCCCAGTGTCATTAGTACAGTGTCAGTGTTTTTTATTTGCACTGATTACTGTAATAGTTTCACTGGGGATGTCAGTGGCAGTTAGTCAGTTCCCATCCAGTGTCAGAATGCCCACCGCAGTCCCACTATAAGTCGCTGATCGCTGCCATTACTAGTATAAAAAAAATCCTAAATTCCAATATATATACAGCCAATTATAGATGCTATAACTTTCACGTAAACCAATTAATTTACATGTATTGGGATTTTTTTTAGCAAATACATGAAGCAAATTTTATGACGAAATTTGATTTTTTAAAAATTTTTTATTGGATATGTTTTATAGCAAAAAGCCAAAACTATTAGGGTTTTTTTCCCCAAATTTTTGGTCTTTTTTTGTTTATAGCGCAAAAAATAAAAACCGCAGAGGTGATCAAATACCACCAAAAGAAAGTTCTATTTATGGGAAAAAAAGGACATACATTTAATTTATGTACCACGTTGCATGACCGCGCAATTGTCAGTTAAAATAACTCAGCGCCATATCGCAAAAAATGGCCTGGTCAGGAAGGGGGGCAAATCCTCTGGAGGGCAAGTGATTAAAAAGCCATGTAAACAAAAGTCATGCAGAACTGTGCAATGTTGTTAGCATTCAGACTGAAAACCCTCTTTAGTTTAGCTTCGAGGTTATGAAGAAATAGTTCATTTATGAGTCAGATAAAAATGTGTTCTAATTACTTCTTGCAAATAAGAATTTAATTACACTGATATTTAGCTAGCTGAACGAGATTCAATCAATAATGAATAATATTATTAACTGCACTGTTTTAAAGTGAAGCTGAAGATTAGGAGCATACTGCAGACCAGAGGAGTGGACATATTTCTAAATATATTATTTGTAATTTTACACAAATTTTAAACAAACAAACAAAAAAAAGAACAGCAGTTTTGCATCTAAATAAAACATGTTTATGGGAGTATTACAGTGGCAATATGTTTCTACATGCATGAGTTAAATGTTAGATTTGGTTTGTTTGTTCAATGCAGCACAGTGAGGATAAAGAGTGACCTACACCTTCTCCATTGGCTTCATTCTGCTACCACCTGTATTTGTTGTAACATTAGTGGGACTCTTCATCATCCTTAGCATCTCATGTAAATCAAGAACCAGCCTTCCTACTACCTGCATGAGCCAATCAACTAGGCACAAAGCATGGTCACCCCCCCCCATCCGCCCCCCCACCCCCAGCATGTAGGAGCAAATGATCTATTCATCATGTGCTGTGGGCTTGGGAGAAGTGTGAGAAATGCAGTTGCAGCTCTTAGGTAGAGATTTAGTGCAATTCAGCATCAATTACAGCCTTAAGCACACAGCATATTTTCTATTTTTAAAAGTGGCATTCTGCAATCTGCATAAGTATCATAGAACACTGAACAGAATATCTATGCTTTTGGAAAATGGCTTCCATAGTATTCTCTATCTTTTAGTTTTGTTATTAGTCAGCAATAGCTCAAATCTGAGAAAAAATCTGTAATAGTGCCTAATGCCCCGAACACACTATAAGAAAATCGCACAAAAATTTTTATACAAGGACCGATCGTCCGATAATCAGATCATTAGTACACAGCTTTCAAGAGCCAATCATGACAATTCATACGACAATATCCGAAGGGACAAGCATGAAAATTTTTCTTGTACGATTTTCGTTTAACCTCCTTAGCGGTATGATTATTTCAGATTTTTGGTGCTGAAAGCGGTACCATTATTTTGCATGGAAATATGTAGTTTTTTTATTGTAGGCTGTAATATTTAGGAATAACTCACTGAAATCTGTCTGAACAAGAGTCTAGTAAACATCCCAGGTATGATAAAATTTGAAACACAAAATTATAAATTATAATTTAATAAATAATCATAAAAAATAATAATATAATAATACATTTAATTCAATAATATAATCAAACCAAAAACACTGAAATTTGAAATATAGCGCCAAGTTTGCACATCACTGAGCAAAGTCGCAAAATTGTTTTCAGTGTCTGATTACGAATTTCTCCACGAATCATTATCACTCAATTCTGCAAGTGGTTCTGATTTACTATCGCTGTTCTCTAGCTGGTCTAAAACCGCTTTTGACCTAAAGGGACGCTTTTTTGGACGCCATGGACTTTTCTAAGTTTCCAGGCAGAAAGAACAGTCA